TAATGTGTTGTATTTTAAGTGTTTTATAAATAAAGTGGTATGGTATGATTGTTGCAACCCCAACTAAAGAACAAGATTCTGGAAGCTTGACTGAACATCAAGCTCTCAAGTTCAGTTTTATCCACCTACATGTCCTGAAGTCAGCTCTACGATGCCACTGATGCATGTGTAAATTTACTTTGACTGAACCTCTGTCCCCAATAGCTGAGCGATCTGGACACAACAGGTGGCCTTCTGTAAGTAAAACTAAAGGTTTGATGACTACTCACTGATAGGTTTGCATAGCTCCTTGTCAGAATCTGTTTTCCTTTTATGTCCATCCAAGGTTGTGTTTATTGATTCACACAAACTTCAAAGTGCATCCGTCACCCAGCAAGTGACATCTGCAACCTGCAAGCACAGCTATTTAGTTTGGGTGTGTCAGAACATAAAACAAGAAGAGGAAAAAACAAAGGACGAGTTCTGAGACCTGATGCATTAAATGAGAGGTTAAAGCCAGACATAATCTGAACCCTTTGACTACACCACATGCTGATGTGGTCAATATGCAGTCCCAGCTGAGGCAAAAGCTAAAGCACACATTCCACTCCGCCTAAAACCCACCAACACACACACACTCACAGTCACATATATTAGCAAACAAAAAGATTCAGCAGGAGTCGAGAAGCAGAATGAAAAGAAAAAAGGGAAGACACCAATGAAATAATAAGAAAAGACTGTGAGAAAAAGAGGGCTGTAATTGCAATTCATTTCCAGCCCGGGCCCCTGGGGTACTGTGAGTGCGTTTGATCCCAAAGGCGAGCAAGAATGGAATTGCAGGGATTCAGTCATATGTATGCAGAGAGAGAAAGGGCTGGGGGAGCGCGTAGGGGAGTCGGGGAGAAGCAGAAAGCCTTTTAATATTCTGGGCCATGAGTTGAGATGAGAGACTGCTCTCATACCTTCAGGTTCATGAGCATAATGAGATTTTTATTTTGCTGAGTGCAGACTGTGAGCGAGACCGTGTGTCGACCCGTCACGCACAAAATGCCTTCATATCAGCTGTGTGTGCACAAAGCGCTCAGTGTGTGTGTTTTACAATTGTTAAAAGTCATTTGTGAGTGTGAGGAAGGGATACATGTCAGTTGGAGTCAGCGTCATTTCTCTCAGCGTCTCCGCTCGCCACAAACCCCCAGATCTCACATGACTTTCATTAGCTGCGTTTACATTGACATTACAAAAATTAGAATAAAACTCTACATTTTCAATAAAAAGTTTAGCCAATAGGATATATTGAAGTGGGTTTATCCAGCAAAACTGCAATCAAAACACTTTTTTCGCATGATACGAGTCACATAATCAATGACAGGATGTTGCTACTGGCAGGAACGACAAAGAAGACAACAGGAAGTGGTAGGCCGATAATGGCACAATTTAGTTTTTGTTTTAGTTTCAATTTAGTTTTTTAGCTTATTCATGTGTGATTTTAATTGAGTTTGCTATTTAATAGAAACACAGCAGTTTCAAATTTGTGTTTTTGTGACTTTAGCAGAATATTAAAGTTTTGCACACATGTGTAATGGAAAACCAGCTACTGACTGCAGCTGACTTTAACACTGAAAACACTCATAACATGAATACACTTCTTTTTATGCTCTCCAATGGTGGTTTCCCAAAACATTTAGTCCTACAACTGACAGACTACTAGGGGCTGAAAAATGATCAGATCCACACGTCTCATGTAGCCCTGATCCGTGTGTGTGTGAGATGCATCACCTGAAAAACACCTTCACCTCCACCCAGTATGTGCTGTGGGTGTACACACACGCGTGCACACACATGTCTACTTGTGTCCTTTTTGTTTTGAATCGCCTGCTGAGCTCTTTTTCAGGAGGAATGAAAATCCAGACTGGAGTCATGTTTCCGTGTTGTGGTGTATGCCACAGTGGAGCTTTTGTTCAATGAATGCACAGCGTAGTGGAAGCTGGACTTTTGTTGTGTGGGAGATTTTCTCAAAAATAAGAGTTATGTGGGAGTTCAACAGCAATGAACCAGAATTTCTGTTTAACAAAAAGTTCATTTTCGTTTCTTTTTGTGAATGTGAGTCATTTTTGTGTTTTTCTCTTTTGTTTATTTTCCCAGTGGTGTGTAGAGTGTTGGTATTATTCAGCTGACCAGTCAATCTGAGAGTAAGTGGTTCTACTTCAAAATATTTTTACTAAAGTAAAAGTAAGAAGTAGGCTCCCAAGAAATTACCACGGTAACAGGTCCAATAAATGTAATCTTAAATGTGAGTAAAAGCCAGAGTTACTACCCAACTCTGGCTTTAATCTAACTTTAGTCCATTTGTCCAGAAAGTTTGGGTCATTTTTAAGGTGTGAATTTGTAACCAAACTCTGATGCGGTCCGTCTACAAACCTCAGTTTTGGTTACTGAAGTGAACTCCAATGCGGTTCGAATATGTATGTGAACGCCAAGTGGACTGGAGTCCACTCCAAAAGCAGGAAGTGAACTACAGCATATAGCATTTTGGGTAAATACAACCAAAACAAATACGCGGTTCTAATGCTAGCTGGAGGAATATTTTTTGCCAAAGACTAAACAGAAATCCTAAAACTGCTAAAATCGCCTCTCTATTTTGTGTGATGGTGCGGCGATGCTTTGTTTCTGGACAAATTTGCATCTCTTACTTACACTAAGGAACAAAAACACGTAGTTCAGAAATTCAGCTTTACCTGCAACCAGTGGAGTGTGAATAAACTTGAATTGTATTGTTTTCTTTCAAACTTTGCATATCACATTTTTAATGTCTTTGTTTGGCAGTTCTGAACCTGAATGTTGTTTTTTATTTGTGTGTAAATCTTTGATGCGAAGGTGACAGCGTCTCAACACCTGGCTGTGTTTTAAATAATCAAAAAGCAGGATCTCTCCGTCTCTCCTCTTTATTGTTTCTCACCACCACGCTCCCTCTCCTCCTCTCTGCGTGACACTTATTTTCATTTTAACCTCCAGTTCTTTCTTCCAAATCCACTCTCATTCTCAAATCTTTTTTTTTCCTCTGCGCCCCCAGCCTTCCAGTCACCTCCCTAAGTTTTTCACTCCTCCGCTCCTGCTTGTTTTTCTCTCTGGAGGTGGTGTGTGATCTCGACGTGTCATCAATCCTCTGCAAGACTTTGAATAATTAGGATCTGCATGCATTCCCTGCGTAAGCGAAGCCTCTAATCCCCTGGAATTGTGCAAAGTAAACCATCACCTCACAGCCCGCTGGTGACCTATGCCTCCCCTTAAACTCTGTTTGGTGCGCCAAACGTGTCCTTTTCAACTCACGTCCACACCCACGAATCAACAATCACCTCATTGCAACGCTGGCAGCACTGCAGAGGTGCTGTGTGTAAATTAAAAATTTAGTTTGAACAGTTAATCCCCAAAGAAAAGCACTTTCCATCACAATAAATCGATTGAAAATGTCCCTAAATCAAGCTAAAGTGTGAAGAATGTCCAGAGTTACAATTTGGGAAATTAACTGTGCCTCCTGCTCTGCTTTCTGATTAGATTCCTGCTTCTCCTCTTCTTAAAACTCCCTGCAAGTAAATAGGAAATGAAAGTGATAATAAAAATTCATTTTTCTCCCCCACTTGTCTCCGTCTCACAATCTCCATGATATAGAAGCTTGTTTGTGAATACATATTCAAATATTACCATAGCACTCCATTAAAAAAATAAATAAAAAAATCAATCTCATAGTCTGGGAGATTCAGTTCAAAATTACAATATTTTTTTACACTTTTTGCTGCTGCAGTTCACTTTTACACTGCACTGTGTCAAACGAACTCAACTCCTTTGAAAACGCTGTTCCTCTCATCGCCTGTGGGGGCGCTGCACCAAGAAACACTGAAGGAAACAACAGAAACCTCAGAAGAAGACATAAGCGCAACTTCCTTCTTCACAAAATGTAAAAAAAAAAAAATGCAGGTTTCAGGATTTCTCATTTGTTTTTGGTAAAAGGTGATTCATGAGCCATTTCTCTTGCTAGCATTAGCGATTGTTTTGGTTGTATTTACCCAGAATGCCCTGTGCTGTAGTTCAGTTCCTGCTTTTGAAAGGTCTCTGAACACACGCAGTAAAAATGCAACAGAATTCACTTCAGCCAAACCAAAACTGAGGTTTTTACACCTAAAATCAATTGAAAATATTGCTAAGTTGAACTGAAGTGTGGGTAAAATTTATTTCCTCCTGCTCTACCTTTGTCTTAAAACTTCTTGTACAAATATCAATAAAATTATTTTTTCTGCCTCACTTGACTCCCTCTCATATTCCCCATGATATAGAAGCTTGTTTGTGAGAACATATTCAAATATTATCTTAGCACTCCATTAAAACCAATCTCAGAAATATCAACTTCGCCCTCCATCTTCCCTCTCTTAGCTCTCCTCTGCTTGTTTTCTCAGTTTCTCCCTGCCATCTCATCATCTCACTCTTTCACCAAGTCCCCCCCTCTGGTTTTGGTTTATTTTCACATTTCTTCCATCTCTCCTTCCCACGGTGACACAAACGAACTGAGCGGTTGTCGGCTGACCCGCTGGGTGCCGCGGCCCTCCCTGGGCGCTCCATCACTGCTCTCTGGAAACATCAGGATGAATGGCTGTTGTTAAGCAAACAGTGAAGTTACAGCTGAGCGGAGCACAGGCTGATATTAATGGAGTGCCTGCTTGCACTCTGCCTCCTCAGTCAATCGGCGGCTTGCCGGTTGCTAATTTAATCAATGGCAACAGTGAGGGATAAACTGTGGGCTTCCCCTTTTCTCTGGTACCTGCCCGTAGTGTTTCTCACTAACTATTTTATTTCACAGTAATAGTTACTTTCAAATCTGACCTATCTAATTAAACAACTCAGACTTCAGTCAAAATGAAACCATTTCAATGGCAAAATCGGTTCCACATCTGATTGATCTCAGTTTAAAGTATGTAGAAGGCTCATTGGCTGATGCCACTTGGAAGCAGCCAATCAGCTGCTTCCAAAGGGTGCATTGTCCCGCCCACCACATCCATCTCAGACCTCTGAGCAGCTAACTGAATGAAGGAGACGAAGATTCATGGAAAACAGGTACAAAGACGACATAAAATTAATAGTTAGCAAACGTTGCTAATGCTTAACCAGATTTTATGCATGTTTACGGGCAGAACAATGAGATAAGCTCACCACTATTAACTCATTTGGTTCTCCGTACTTCAGGAGTAGGAGAGAAGTACTGTTAAGTAAAATGTTTCATTCAGCCAATGAGCGGCTTGCTCCACCTCCATGTCAGACGGTGGTAGCTGAGCAACTAACAGTTGAATGATGGAGATTCACGGAAAACAAGTATAAAAACAATGCAAAATTAATAGCTAGTAAACGTTGCTAATGTATATAATGTTTAAGGGCTAGAACATTGAGCTAGGTTCACCGTTATTAACTAGTTCGGTTCACTCTGTACTTCCGGAGTTTACTGTTAAGTCACATGTTTCATCTAACCAATGAGCTGCTTCTAAATAGCGCATTGTCCCGCCCACCATCTCCATCTCAGACGGTGGTGGCTAACTGAATGCTAGCAGATAACGGAAAGAAGGAGACGGAGATTCATGGAAAACAAAACAATATAAAATTGATAGTTGGCAAGCATTGCAGAATAATTGTATGTATGTTTACTGCTAAAACGATGGGTTTAGTTCACCAATATTAACAAGTTTGCTTCTTTGTACTTCTGGTTGTAGAATATTTGGTTAGAGGCGGCGCCATTTTGTGCTGTTGTGCTCCCTCTTCTGAAATCGGTGAGCAATGTTTTTCTTTTTTTTTATTTTCAATTGAATTTGTAAATATTTAAGCCATTGACTGACTAGGCATTTTAAACCCATGCTTAGACTATTGCATTTTACAGCAATAATTCTTAGAGCTAACAAGTTGTGAAATAAGACTATTTAAAAAATTTGTTGTATTTTAAAACACATTTATGGCTCACAAGTGTGTTTTTAGTCTAGATTTAAAGGTACTTTGTGGATTAGCTGCAGCTGTCTGATTATTTTTTTAGGCAGACCTGTGAAGATACTGTTGCAATAATCAATACGACTGGATCAGTTTCCCTAGATCTTGTTGAGAAATTAGTCCTTTAATCCTGGAAATGTTTTTCAGGTGACAGAAGGCTGACTTTGTAACTTTGTCAGCACCCAGCTTCAGTTATTACAGCTAGGAACTGGCAATCAGGCTGAAATCTAGATGTAGTGATGGATCGTTCCCCTTTAGACCCAACGATAACATCTTCAGTTTAGTTTCTGCTCAGCTGGAAATAATTATTGCACATCCACACGTTATATGAAACAATCACCTATCAAAACGGCATACTGATTAATAAATAGCCATCAAAACTACGGCATTGGCACGTGGAAACGAACTGCGTCCGAACACTGCAATATTTTCTCTCCCAAATTAGCATAAACACAGATCTGTGAAGTCTCGGCGTACAGCGGAGTCACAGCGAGCAAACACACAACACCTGTTTGTGTTTACCCAACCAGTTCTCTCCCAACATACAGCCATGCTAATAAACAGGTGCGACCTGTTTAACCTAACATGGTTTCTAGTTACGCCTCCGCCGGCAGAGGTTAATTCAGTAACAAGCAATCAGGATATGTTCTGCTTATTTAGTTTCTCTTTTATTTAAAAAAGGGGTTTTATGGAAATGAAGATACGTCTGAGTGTATTTTAGGGTGTCTGTTTTCAGTTTCCTCAGCCTTTAAATCTCTCAGTAATCCGATCATGTCTGGATGGCTGTTTTACTTGACAGAACCACCTTAGTCATACAACTGCTGCATCTTCATTTCCATCCTGCTACAATTCAACATCATGTTGTATTTCTGCAGGAAAAGAGGACGCTTGTCAAAATCGTAATGAAGTTAAAAGTGCATTAGATTATAATAATGGTCCTAAACTGATCAGTTTCATAACATATTAAAATCAGTCTAAAATGTGAATACTTGTCTTTTAGCTAAAAGCTTCTGAATGTCCATCAGGCTAAAAGAAGCAAAAAGAGATTTCTTTAGATTTTCCAGGATTAAGAGCTGAATTTAAAGATGTAATTTGGAACGGACCAAAACTGGACTTTATCTTTTTGGTTTGCTTTCATACTGTACTTTTTTGTAAGCGAACTGCAAATCCAAATGTTTATGCAATGTTAAAGCTACTTGGATGATTTGAGTTATGACAACATTTAATTTTCCTTTGGAAATAATGTATTTTTGAATTTAATTTAAATCAAAATCAAGCTCAGATTAGACCTTTACGTTAATATTCTCAAGATGACGGCATGTTTTTACAGTTCATTGTTCTTCTCCTTGCTAATAAAATCAATAATTCCCTTGGGATTATGTTGACCACAGGATTAGCAGGACACTCAGCGAGTTTTCTTTGCCGTTTAATGTTTGTTTTGATTGCTTAAAACTCTCCTCTTAGCTGAAGAAGAGAAAAAGCGCAGCACTTAACTGGTCTTACTGGTTAGCATAATGTGAAGGAAGCTCATGTTATTCAGCTAAGCTAATTTTATTAAATTAATTGTCTATTTATAAATAACAGAAAGTGTTTGTTTTTTATTTAGGCTCAACAAGTACAGTCAGGAGCAGAATTAGTCGTGAGTCATTTTATTCAACCCATAAGAATGAAATATCTTAGATTCTGCAAATATTTGTGGATTAATTTAGTGTCCAGTCACAATCACCACGCCTTCATTGCTTTATTTTATAACATGTTAAAGTTCATGAGGGATAAACAGTAACTTGATATGAAACTTGCTTTTGCTTCACTTGTAATCATATCCAACAGGGGTGTGTCTGAAAGGCCTTGTGTAACAAATCTGACATATGTCACTGAGTTAGAAAACTGGAAATAATTTTCTCTTTCAGGATGTTCCTCATTTGTCTGATTTTAAAGAACATTTATTCAAATCTTGTTTAAAAATATAGCTGTACCAATGCTCTCCTAAGGACTCTCTGCCTATTTTCAACTATTTTTAGGGCCTCTTGTCACTTTAAATCCAGAGAAGCTTCTGCTGGCCACGCTCCCAAAAGTCAACGTTTACACTCGCTCGTGAAAATGGCTGGCAATAGAAATGCAAATATACAACCATACATCTTTGAAAAGCAGAAGTGGGCCCTCCTGCACAGTCAAAATGTTGACAGCAAATGGTTTCTGGATGGTAAGTCAACAACAAAACACTTACCTTTTCCAGCAGCCATTGTACGGCAGTGATAAAACTAGGTGACCAAATGTGCTGGAGCTACTCTGGGGTTGCTAGGTAATGGGGTGGAACTCTGTTGGGGTTGCTAGGTAACGGTGGGGTTGCTAGGTAACCGTGCAGTGCCTTTGGTATGTGACTTAATCGGGAGGTTTTGAAATGGCTCGTTTTCCGGACACTAAACAAAATAGCCAAAAAACAACTGTTTTTTGTTGCTTTTTTTTTTTAAAGTGCTTGGACTGTTTTAGAAACAGTCAAAATGAAAATGGATGTTCAAAAATGCGAAATTGGACACATGTATCTAAGTCTAACCAGAGACTTCAACGGTTTTCGCTCACTAACAGTGTGTGTGTGTTTCTTTAAAAAAGTAAGTTTCATCAGTGCCTGCATCTGCTAATGTGACCGTTTCCTAACAAAGTGACCCAAATGACTCAAGATTAACACACCTGCATCTTATTAAAGTCAACCGTAAATGGATCGAATCCAGAAAGTGTGAATCACTGTTTCCAGTAGGATTTCAAAGGAAAATCACGGAGAAGCAACAGAAAGCTCGCTCTGCCCTGTGGGGAAACATCTGATGCTTATCTGAAGATACATCCTGAGCCTGCAGCAGTGATGAGACAACATTTTAACACTTTTCACTCTTTATTAAAAGAGCTACTTCTGGTGTGTTTGGCAGCAGTCATGCAGGTGTTGATATGAGGGCAATGTGGGTGAAATATTTTCATGATGGTGACATGAGATAACCCCAAACATTATTCTTGCCACAGGCAGTGTTCGTGGAATTTCCCCTTTAATCTCTGAAACAACACCTCTTACATTGACACGTATGACCTGGTTTTCTCAATTTACCATCAAAACCTTGATTTAAATGGAAAGTGGCAGCTAATAATTAACAATTTAGACATTTCATATTTATTAATAATTAGATATATATTGCAACATCTTCAAAAACAACTGGAATGTTTGTTTTTTTGTGTAGTAGGTGTTCAGATGTTTATTGGTGTGTGTATTTTTACTTTAACTGTGCAGTGGTTCTTTGTAGAAACAGTTTTGAAAAAGTATCTGCTCTCACTGTATTCATAAAACAAATAACTCCAATGATATGCAGGTGAAAACACCCATCAAGGTCAGCAGTAATCTGCGATTAACAGCATCAGACTGCAACTGTTCTCACCAAAACATCAGTTTCTGTCAGAAAATACAGCTGGTGCATCAGTGATTAAAATAAAATCAATATTCAACTAAAAACAAAAAGTAAAGTGGACAATTTATCCAAAATATTGATGGCATTGATGCAAAGTTGGAATCTGTACTTTAGTTACCTCTTGAAATTTTATTTAATTTTTGTATATGAAATAGTTTTTCAACTCTAAAATATGTCTTAAATTATATATTTTAAACATTTTATTTAGAAACACATCTTTGTTTCTGTTTATTGTGATAAAATGTTATGAAAGCCTTTTGTAGATGCCTATAAACTTTATCCAAATGTTCTTAGTTTTAATTCAGTAATTCAGACAAAAAAGTCACCAAAACACCTCAAGGTTAATAAATCAAACTTAAATAATAAAAAGTATCAGAATCACACACCTCTAATAAAAAAACGCTGACGTGAAGTTAAATGTCTTTTTTTCCAATGCCAGGAGTTTTGCAGGTCACTTTTTTTCATTTTCTTCTTCTACATCAAAATTACAGCCAGCTTGCAGGAGTTGCTAAATGTTTCCAGTTAAAACCCGACTTTTTGCTGTGATTTACATAAATAACGAGCCATTTAATTGTGGATAAACTGTGGCAGGATTAAGTTTGGATAAATACATATATTTTTTGGAAGTAAATCAACATGCAAACACTAGCTTTTATGTTTTCCAATAGCTGAATTCCTAAATAAAGCAAATTCCTGAGCTGGTGTTTACTCTGAAATGTTGGAGCTGCTCGGTCTGACCCCTCTGCAGGGCCCCTGGGGTTGGCGTGACCCCGTCCAGAGACGCAGACGTACCTATATACCGACTTTAATTTCACGACCGGTGTTGGTGGCAACGTCACCGTGTCTGAGATGTTGAGGCAACGAATAAGGCAATCAAACCTGCCATTTGCACCTGTAAGAACACACAAAAAATTTCCTCTTCATACATGAAGGGGTTCTCACAGTTTTATGGTTATGAACGCAGTATGAAAAATAAAAAGGAAACTCTGTCGCTATGGAAACCCAGCAGTCTGTCCTCAGCCACGAGCGTTTCCTTTCTGTACGGCTCCTTTTCGCCTCTCCACCCTCTTATCTCAGCAATAGTTGCCAATCGTCCGTATTTCCTGTCGTTTCTGCTCTCACTCCTCCTTCCTGCCACCTCTTCCTGCTGGATCTGTTTATTCAGGCGCCATCCATGTTCAGTGCCGTCGTTTCCTGAATTAAAAGCCCCCATAATGCCTGCGTTTCTTCAATCTGTGTGGAGCAAACGTGGTCATTTAGGGACAGGAATGAACTGCTGAGTACGACGGAAAGCTCAAACTTCATATCTCTGCTGCAACAAAAAACAACAAAAACTGAAATTGTTAAAACATTTCTTAATTTAAATAAATAAAAGCAGAAGTTATTGGGGAAAAACTATAAGTAAGTGGAACCATGTCTAAAACATACTTAAATTAGACATAAAATCATTTGTTTTTGTGTTTATGAATGTGTTTGTTAGCCTTTTAACTGATTTAAAATAGATTTTTCCCCCCACACGCAAGCAGTTTACGTCATTTATCAGGAAATTACGGCAGTCCGTTCTCCTTGTGGCGGCTACGCTATGCTAGTCCGCAAAATGGCTACAGAAGAAGAAAACCCCACAGTCATTGGGTTGTTCAACAATAATTTGAATAAATCTTTTGGAAATTGAAAAATTACCCAATCAATATAATCATAATACAATTCTTCAACCTTTTTGAATTTTACACCTAAAAACCTAACCAAAAACTAAAATTATTATAGCGAATAAAAACTAAACATTTAACTTATAATAACTAATACAAACCGGCAACCCCACAATAAAAACAAATTAAAACACGATGAATTTAGAGATTAGAGAAATAATATCCTTCATTTTCTATGAATGTGTCCCTCTCAGTAGATTCATTGTGTTCATGAATCCAGTGATTAGCATTTTGAACTGAAATTGATTTTTTTTTTCCCACTCAAGCAGCTGTCAACAAATGTTGGCGCTCCTCCTGGTGAAACTTAACGCTACACCACAAAATGGCTGCAGGACAAGTTGGGATAAAACATCAGTCAGTTGGTTGTTCGGCACTAATTGAATAAATGTTTTGAAAATAATACCTTCTGTTGAGCATTCATTACTCAATCATAACACTTTAAACTTTCTGAATTCTACACCTAAAAATCTAAACTGAAATATTTAGTTAATAATGACTAATAAAAACTGGCAAACACACTCAAACTGAATTAGACAAACAAAAGTCACAACAGACTAAAACTGAACTATGGTCATTTCTAACCCTGCCCGCCTGAATCGGCCTGTGGGTTTTTGCAGCGTGTTACCTGGTGGGTCATTCAGGGTCAGGATGATACAATAGTGTGCCAGCAGCTTATGGGGCCCCTGCAGACAAGCAGAAAAATGGGCCCCAGCGGTGCGCCGCATTCAGGCGGTACAGATAATGGATCGGGCCGTGGGGCCATGGGCCGGGGCCTTGGGGCCGGGGCCAGGCTGGCCGACGTAGCGGCTTGTAGCTCACTGCTGGAGGTCTGCAGCGAGGAGGGAGGGGGCACGTAATCCAGAGAGGGGTTTACTACTGATGTAGAAAATGCTTTTTATTTTTATTTTCCTTTAAATATGAACTTAAACACAAGATGGACTCCATTTATTATTACTGAATCTAACTAATTGCTGTGCATTTAATTTAGGGGTATCAGCATCAAGGGAGGTGAATTATTGTATTATTTATTTTGATTGAATGCTTTTATCATTCTATCAAGATGATCAGGGCTATAAATAGAAACCAGTCTAAAGTATGATGTCACTTACAAAAATAGGGAATTAACACAAATTGAGTTTTTTTCCTTCCTTTCCTGTTTTACTGTTAACATTATTAATAACTCATTATTGTTGTACTATCATCATTGTCTAAGCTTTTATCTCTGTTTTTTATTTTTTGTTTTATGTATTGTTATATAACACAGATTAAGTAGAATTTATGTCCAGTTGTTATTTACTGTTGTCTTTATTATTATTATTATGTATCCATAGATTTTTATTATTATAAGAGTTTTTAATAATTTTGTTTATGTAATATAATTTATTTGTTGGCTCTTTAGCACAGTATGTTGAACAGGAACATTATAATATGGTTTCAATTACACATTTTTGTCGGTAAGTATTTCATTAAATTGAGATAAGGAGTGAAATTAAATACGTTTTCACTTCTTCCGACTCTTTTCTAAACAGAAAAGTACAAATTATTTTGTTCTTGGTTATGCATTGACATGTTTTTTTCTGTCCTACTGGTTGCTTGTTTTCCTGTTTTTAAAAACCAGTTTGACATACATTAAAAAATCACAAAAGTTTTTCCATATTTGTTACAACTGTCCTCATGTCATGACACTATAATGTGATGCAAAAATGCTCTGCTTCTTATCTGGCGTTCAAAACATCAACTCATATTCACGTTGACATGAAATAATTTTCTGTTTTACTGTTGCAAAAGCTCAATATTCCTAGTGAATAATAACTGTCCCTCTTTCTGTCTGACGCGCCATAGAGAACATAAATTTGTTCCATTTACGTCTGTTCAGAAGACGATCAAACTGTTTGAAACTGTACAGTTTGTTAATATAGTCAGTTTTAATCAGTTTCTCACTGTGATGCTGTGAATTTTCTACTGATTTCATTGATATTTTTATCCTCATTTCAGAGTCATGAATCAAAGAGCAGACTGTGAGAACGCCGACTGTCAAACTGTCTTCTGGCTTGTGGCAGAAAAAAAGCCCTAATTTGAATAAAACCAATTGAAGATGGAATAAAGCAGCCAAGAAAAAAGAAAAGGAAGCAAACACAACTTTTAATAAACACGTCTGATTGAGTTTCAGATTTTATCACTCTTGGGTATTGTTGCATTCTCAGTGAAATGATGAACATTTTATAGCTTTCACAGCTGTCGTCATACTGCACTGGTTTCCATTCTTCAGTAAGCACTTTCTCCATAATGGGAGTACCGGTCCGTAGCAGAACGGTTGCGTTTAACAGTTCCAGTTTCAATGCACCGATGAAAGCTGGAGCGCTATGATAGCTTATCATTTTATAAAAAAATGAAAGGGAGTAAATATCTGTAAAAAAACTGAATTTTTTTTATTAATTTCTGAAATTTTCTGAGAAAAAAACAAGGAAATTTTTTAAACTTGAAAAAGTCGAACATTTGTTTCCAAAGGCTCAGAAATGTACTTAAAAAAAGACAAAGTGGGTATTTCTGAATTTCAAAAGTTGAGAATTTGCTACAAAGAACTCTGAATTTTTTTAAGTTAATCTCAAAAAACGTTTGAAGAAAAAACATTGACATTTCTGATTTACAAAATTTCTGGAAAAAATTTGACATTTTAAGATTAATCTCAGAAATTTTGTAGAAAAAGAGAAAATTTCTACATTTAAAAAGTCAAAATTTGCTTCCAAAACCACTGAATTTTCTAAATAAAAAAAAAACCCTGGAACTTCAGAGTTTCAAAAGTTAAAAGTTTGCTAGAAGAAAACTTTTGATTTTTGGAAATTTACTTAGTTTAAAAGTTGAAAAAGTTTGACTTTTAAAACTCAGAAATTTCATTATTTTTTTGTAGAAAATTTCTGAGATTCATCTCAAAATTCTTGAGTTTTTTTAGCAGAAATTTTCTCCTCCTTTTTTCTCCAACGGCCCCAATACGCCATCATAGACAATAAACACATGACGCAGATGACGGAGAGAAAACTCCAGGCCTCCCAAAGACTCGACTCACACCCCCACAGTGTGTCTTTAACTCCACAAAACAGAAAAACAAAGCTATGGACAGAACGAGATAAAGACCGATCATCTGATCTCCATCTGTCAGCCCCGTTAGGGAACAAGCAGAGAGAAGTGGCTTTGCATCTCAGCTGCTGCCACCCACCTCCTGTCTCACACTCTCAGGCGTGATGCGTTCCTACAGATCGCATTGATTTGAAGTGTGTGTTTCTGCTGTTCTGTGTTCTGCAGAGACTCTGCAAGACCAATCAGGACCCTTGCCCTCACAGCTAGCAGAGAAAAGCTGGGAAAGGAGAGGAAAGCAGAGAGGAGGAGGTTTATGAGGATTGACCAGCACTTAATAAATGAGAACATCATCCAAACGGTAATTTATTTCACTAATTCACATGGTCTGCCTATCAGAAAGATAAATTATACCAATTAATTGACGACAGATTTAATAGATATTCCATTTGGAGGGTTTTAGTTGCAACAATAAACCCTCCAAAAATGATTTTCTTTGAGAATTTGAGTATGAAATACAATGAAAAAATATTTTGACAAAATAAAATGTTCTTTTGGGGAAGACTGCTGATGGAAAATGTGTCTGTTACATTGAGTTTGTAACATTTCTTTACATTTTCAGTTTGTTCTGTCTTTGAACTGTCTGCTCTGTTAGTTCAAATTAATGAAAGAACTGTTCACCTCCTCGCCTGTGGTGGCGCTGCACCAAGAACCACTGAAGGAAACGACACGAAGTGCAACTTTCTTCTTTGCAAAATGAAAACAAAAATGGAGTAGCGTCATAATTTTAGCGGTTGAAGGATTTCTGTTTTGTTTTTGCCAAAATCTTACGAGTAATTTCTTACGCTGCTTTTTGGCATTTCATATCCTAGTAAATCGGGCTACAGACAAGCAGGAACCAGGACTCCTTTCGGACCTTTTGGACCTGAAATCAGAGGTGGGCAGAGTACCTGAAAATTGTACTCAAGTTAGACTAGAACTACTTCAACGTATTTTTATTCAAGTAAAAGTAAAAAAGTATTTCGTAAACAGTCTACTGAGTAACTGATCAAATTATCGACCATTTAATAGTAAAAGTTATATAATCAGATGGACCAAAATATAAAGTTAAGTGGAAATTTTGGTATTTTAAGAACCAATGTTCTTAGAAGAAAGATGTTCACAATAAAAATATTTTAAGTACGACCCCTGATTGCTGTCACTTTTGTGAATTTGACGTTGGGACAGCAGTGTTACCATGGCAACAGGTCCAGGATTGAAGAAACCAGGACATCTTTCTCACCAGCTTCCCAAGACAGACTGGAGTGAACATGATTGACCGTTAGGACGTGGTGATGTTGGAAGGAACCTACATTTGTAGGCAAAGTTGATACATTTATGTATTATGAAACTTTACTAAAAACTTCATAAATAAGATGGAGATAACTATCACTGCTAATTAATCAACTGGTTTAAATCCTTGCATGTTTTCTTAAAGTGGTGAAGTCAAAGGCAAGTGAAACACACAGACGTCATCCAGCTCTGTTCTCCTCTCTGGCTTCTGCTTGGCTCACTGGTGCGATAATTTCACCGCCTTCGCCTCCTTTATCTCCGTGTCCCAGGCTCATCATGGCCGTCAGGGGTGAAGTGGCATAGAGAGGCAAAGAGGAGATGGGATCAGGCGTGGTGGAGCCTTTGGAATGTTAATCCGTCGTGGCTCGGTGGAATCGTCTGGTCAAGGCCTTGATTAAGGATTCATGGAGTATTAGAATGTTATCATCATGGCTATACATCATCTTACTGCTTTATCAACAACTTGTCTTGGGTTAAGCCAGTAGCTAAATCCCTTTTACGTAGGTATGGCTGCCATTGTGGAGGATGTGTGGGATTTTTTCCAACACCTATCGTGCAGGTTTGTGTAAAATAGAAAGTAATTTCCTAGTATTTTAGTGATTGATGGTTGGTGGGATGTTAGTTAGTTTGGCTGGGATTTTTTCTCTGCTGAGGAATATCCGTCTTGTGTTTTCTAAACTCTTGGTGCATTCACACCAGCCTGTCCAGTTTAATCCAACTCCAGTTTGTTTGCCCATAAGATCTGTGTACCAGTTGGGTAGAAGTGAACTGGTGTGGTTTGAATGCATATGTGAACTCCAAGTGGTCCGGAGACCGCTCCAAAAGCTGGAAGTGGACTACAGCACAGGGCATTATGGGTAAATACAACCAAAAACAAACACGCTAGTCATAACATTAGCGGGAAAAATGGCTTGTTGTCTTTTACTAAACACGGAAAAGAAATCCTACAACCAATCAGTACTCTGGTCTCGCCTATCCAGAGAACATGGTTCCAGGATCTAGAATAATTTAGATTCAGCTTTGCACACCTACATCGTCCTGCCCTGTTCTTTCTTCTAGAGATTTTTTCTTCCAAACAAACCAACCTGTCTTTTTTCAAACTATCTTGCCATGGACTAAACTCTTAACTCAGAGTCGTGGAGTCTGATTAAGTTCTTCGTTTTTTGGCAGTTTCTTTCAACATTCACTTAAAGTTAAAACCATAAGTTTATATACACCAATTAAAAAACATTTATTTTTTTTGTCTGTCTGAACTAAAATGAGACCAAATTTCTCTAGTTTTAGGTTAGCTAGATTTACCAGAATTATTTATATTTACTAAATAGAACTTTTATCAATCACGTTTGTTTGGTGCATGTCTAACTTATTTTACTGCCTATATTTCTGGGGAGATAGTTAAAATCTTTCCACTTGTGAACAATCTCTCTCTTTCTGTAGAGTAATGAATCTCAAAGTTTTGAGAAATAGTCCCCAAATCTTTCCCAGATTGATGGGAGGCAACAATTGTTTTCTCTAATGTCATCTTATATGTCTTTCCACTCTACCATTGTACTAATACGCCTGTATGATCTAGACCAACAAGCTGTCAACTTTTAACTGATTAATCAGATAATCAGTGCATTAATTAGCAGCATCTGGTTTCTTCACTTCCTCCTACGTTGTGGGAGCACCATGTTTTAGTTGGAGTGTATCAGAGTAAACTGTAAAGTATTTGCGACTGGCTGAGTGAGAGAATATGAGAGGGAGCTTTGCTGTCACTGCTAGTCCCTGATGTTGGTTTCTTGCACAAGAGCTGAGGGAGATGGGAGCCAGAAAACTCGTTTTAATTTCTGCATACATCAAAGGATGATTTTCCTCCACAGTTTTGAATGTTTAAGGGAAGTTAGCTGACAAGTCAAACTTTAGCAGGAACTTCTCTGAGATATCTGAACTCTGTAACCTTTTTGCTTGTTATCATGCCTCTTCTCTTTGCTCTGCTTCCTTCGATCCACTGATTGCACATTATCAGCTTTATGCTTATTTATTATGAGCAGCGAAGTTAACCTAAGCAGATTCATTAAGTCTGCAAACACTGCTTCAAAAAGCAGCACATGTAGTTGCATTGATAGATTCTAAAATGTTTGAGATTGATGACAGTGGCTGCATTTCCATTACAAATGTGAACAAAACTTTGTCAATATTCCACTAACGTCAGAAATCAACTTCACAAACCTAGTGAAGTTGAAGTCTGGATAGGTTTTCATGAAGTAAGAAATGCAATTAAAATCACATGTGAATAAGTTTGTTCATGTGATAAATAATTAAAAAACATGCTGCACCATCATCTTCCTGTCGTCCTCTTTGCCGTTTCCTCCAGTAGTAACAACCAGTTGTTGATGAATTGTGTTTCCATTACAGTTTTGCAAAATACACAAATTTTGACACGGCCGAAAAATCTCCTCATTCTAAAATGTTGTTGCGAACCAGCAGAAATAAGGGCTCAGCTGCTTATTTTGCATGAGAATAAACACAAAATTTATATTTTTGAGTGTTAGAAATATGAGTGCAAATAATTTTTAAAATATATTGTTTGATTTGGACAAATGGAGCAAAGCATGTTAGCATCAGAGCGAGAAAAAAAAAATCCCAGTTTTAAGAGTAATTTCCTGTCATTCTCCTGCAAGCTGCTGCCTGAATGAAAGCCTTTTTCCTCAAGACAGAATGTTTTGGATGATGGCTCCATTAAGAAGAAGAATTAATAATGTCCAGATGGTTGAGACATTAATTACTGGCTGGAAATATTACAGTCTTCCCTTCAGAAATGTTATCACTAACATTGGCTGCGAAAACTACATATTTCAGTGCTTGGATGGATGAAGATTTATTTTTTTTCTTTCTACATAAAACGTCATCGAAAAGACATTATAAATAAACACTGGAATTAACAACACCTGCAACTAAGCCTCTTTTGGAGACTAAGATGTGCCTGTAATTATAGATATAATGTGCTTCACTGTTCAGACGATCCAGAATGTGCAATCTTTGGTAAAATTGACAAAAAAAACCTCAATCCAGAACATTTAATGCTGTCTGTCTGAGAGAGTGTGTCCATAAATCTGAGGTGTGGATTTAAGTGAAAGGAAAATAGGAGGAAGGTTTAGGTTACGAGGTTTAGGTGCTGATTGTTTGGTAATAAGAGCTAAGTCTCCCTGACAGAGTGACAGATTCCCACACCCCCACATTAATTCACCCTGACTTTCCTGCTCAGGTGTCACACCTGCAGAGTGTTGCCAAAACCTCCTCTAGGCTCAGATCTTAGAAAGTTTATGGTTATCCATTAACATGAAAAGTCAACAAAATGCATCACCTTAGCATCGACACCGTTCCTGTTTCTGCTGCGTGAGCACTGCCCTAATTTCACGTTACTCTTAAATTACACGCATGGCTTGTTGGGAGGGAAAGCGAGTGGACTTGATTACTTCTCGTCCTTGCCAGAGGCGGGTTGGTGAAACACGGTCCAGAACACAATCCTCATTGTCCTTCGTTGTTACCGTACACCCAAGAAAAGTAGGACTCCTCATCAGCAGAGGTGAAAACACACACTGGGTGTGCTATATTTGGGGTTCAAACATGAATAGAGAACATTTTAGGCTTAAAAATGGTTTTTGACGCAAATAATACCAAATGTGTTTAAAACAGAGGTGGATAAAGCACCCAAAACTTGTACTGAAGTGAGAGTAGTTCTGCTTCAGCATATTTATACTTGTGTAAAAGTAAAAAGTAGCCATAAGAAATTACTCAACTAAAAATAAAAAAAATGCTTCTCAAGTACTGAGTAACTGAACCAAACATCAACCATTTAATATTTAAAAATTACATCAACTGACCAAAACATAAAGTAATGTGGGAATTGAAATGAAATGGTTGACATAAATAAGCCAAAGAAACTTTCACTAAAACTGCAGGTGACTGTGAATAACCTCCTGAATGAAGAACAAACTTTATTAACCAGAAGTTCACCGAGAAATTTTCTCAAAGGTAAAAATGAGC